CCCCAAAACCCCAAAACCCCAAAACCCCAAAACCCCTTTTCTTAATTATAATATTTAAAATATATTTCCTTAAAAATGTCAAAAAAGAGCCTTTTCCTTAAAGAAATTGAGCGTGTGATCCACTCTGAAAATGATGAAGTGACCGACTCTGAAGAAGAGAAAGAAGAGAGTAAGCACGACTGTTCCTGACTTACCTGTAGGCCTTGCCCTCGAGGATATGGAGGCAAAGAAGGATGAGAAAACAGGGGCTTTGAACCCGATTGACGAATCCAATATTTCATTACTTGTCTCACCGCAGAAATTTCATGCTTATTTACTGAACAGCATGAACATTAGGGTTGATGAAGACCTGAGCAGCCACTTCTTCGACCAGCTCAGAGAGAACGAATCTGAAGAGGTATTCCTCATAACTCATCTTTTAGGAAGAAGAGAAAGAAGACAACTACGACAAAGATTCGTATAACTCAGATGATCAGAATTATGAAGAAGCTGAAGGAGAAGGGGAAAATGACACTAGAAACCAAGATGAACAAGATATATACCAAGATGACGAAAGCAGCCGCAGTAGGTCTTCAGCTTTACTCCTAGGATCTGATAGTAAGAGCAAGAACAGAAGCAATTTTGATGACCAATCAAGTAGGATGTACAAAGAGGATACCAATTTATATAAGAAGGCGCAGAGAAAGTTTGAAGACCCCTTCAAGCACCTACCCAAACCAGGTATACCATCACTCTAAGCCTATAGTTGCCGATATGAACTACTCTTCAAGCTATCTTCAGATGTCCCTAGCTTCTCTGATCATGAATGATCAATACCAAAAGCTATGAGAAGGGAATAGTCTCCTGAAAGCTAAGATTCATCTTCTTGAGAAGCAGATGAAGACCAGTGATCCTGTCAAAAAGATGAGCCTCCATAAGCAGATAAGCGATCTGTCCCAGCCAGGCAGCCTTAAGAAATATTTGATTAATGAGAAATACCCACCCAAAAATGGAGGAGTTTACCAATATGAGGTAGATAATTTCGAGAAGTGGGAGAAATCTAAACTCCAATCCAAAGATCCTTTTGAGAGCGGTTTTGTCACCTTAGATGCCCTCAAATCTAATGAATTGCCTGATTCTTGCTTCCCTGGGCTTGTTTATGAGGGATCTAGATACCTCGGCAACACTTTTACCAAATTCAAGGAAGAGAAAGAGTATTTCCAAACTGCAACAAAGAATGATTATGATAGAATGTCGCAACATTTTGGACCTCCTCAATCTGGAAGCCTCTCTGGCAGGAAGAGAAGATACAGAAGAAGAGCCAACCAAATATCAAGAGGTTACGTCTGTAGTCTGCCAACATGAAGAAAAGCATATGGAAGTGAAGGTTCTCTTAACCAACATATGAAAATAAAGCATCCAGAATATTACCAGAGTTCAGATATTACCGGCAGAAGAAGAGGAAGAATTGGGAACAGACATATTGGGTTTATTCCTCCTATGCAGCCACCTGCTCCATTAAACCATTTCCAGATGATGCAGAGCCAGTATTCTAAATACTAATTTTCTGAAATCTTAGCGATAACAATGGGGTTTTGGGGTTTTGGGGTTTTGGGGTTTTGGGGTTTTGGGGTTTTGGGG